AGAGAGAGAGAGAGAGAGAGAGAGAGAGAGAGAGAGAGAGAGAGAGAGAGAAGCGGAGGTCTGTGCAGTCTGAGAGCAATTTTATCCAACATATGAGCAGGTCTGTGTCCCAAACTACATGCAAACAAAAGATGCACTAATTACAAGCATTTATGAAACTCTCGTCTTAAAGGTCTTGTAGTCTGTTTAATAATGTTGGGCTTTTTCTCACAAAGTGGAAAAATTACCTCAGGTTCACCACACAAAGAATTAAACACAAACCTCTGGATAGTTTTAAAGAAAGAAAAAGTTATATTTAACAGCGGAACCAGCTGACAGCAGCTTTGGTGAGACTGGAAAGGTTCAAACTTCTATCACTAAGTTGTAAAGGAAGCCATGCACAGGTGTGGAGCCAAGGGGTGGCACAGGGTGGCCATGACCCCAAACAGCCATCCTGGTGTCCATCCTGAGGCCTGAGCATGAAGCCTTCAAAGTCTTAGTGTCAAAAAAGTAGGGAAAAAAAAGAAAAACAAAAAGGGAATGGGACTCGTGATTTTACAGGCTGCTTGGAAACATCTAAAGATCTAAAACAACAACAACTGGGGACTCCTATTTTATTAGCAGTTTGATGAGCTGCTCAGTTTATCTTTACTCCTTGTTTGTGCCGTCACAGTGTTTCTACATTTTCACAAACTACAAAAAAGTCTGGAAATCTACAAACATCTTCAAATCCTATGCAAATGTTTGACTAAAACTACAAACAACTCTGCAAGCGTGAGATGAACAAGCGCAACAGAGAGCGGTCTGACGCTTCCATCAAATTCTAGCAGATTTATTCCCTACATCATCCATGCCTGGTTTTAATACATTTTGTGAGCCAAAGTTTTGGTTAAAACATCACATACTTTGCAATGAACTTTCTTGCAAGTTCCTCAGGAAAGTCTGCAGATGTGAAGACTCACAAAAGGATAAATAACTGGATTAAAAAGTCCAAAGCAGCGCCGTCATGGAGTTGGTGATTTGACAGTGGGACAAGCCTGAATGTAGTGTGAAGTTCATTACTAGAGTTGTATCTAAAACCTATTGTTTTTCTGGCAGAACTTTTTTTTTTTTGTGCGGAAGCATTTCTCTTTGACTATTGTTCCCATACAGACACATTTTAACACCATATTTACTCCTTATTCAACCACATATGACCAAGTAGTTCTGACAGTTAAAAAAAACCAAACGTCTACACTAATTGTAGCAACTCAAAGATTTCCTATTATTGTCATAGAGAAGAGCTTCCAGTATAAAAAGGCATCTGTTTATTCATATGCACATGTGAGAGCCGGCACTTAGGTTAGGAGCACCGCCCCTTGTAGGTAGGGTTAGAGAGAGCCCTCCCTCCTTATAAGCACAGGTGAGAGCCATTAGTGCCTCTTTGTTTGAGGCCTGGTAGATGTGTGGTGGGATTGCTGTGTCTGTGCAGGTAAGGGAGATTTTAGAAAGCAAGAAAGGTTCAAACAACAAGAAAGGTTTTTGATGGGATTGCTGTGTCTGTGCAGAATTGTGGTGTGGCTGTTTTCCCTCTCAACTCGGTTTGATTAAGGCCCTGTAGGCCCATGCTGAAGAGGACATGAGTCAGCCTCACTGGGTCCCAGTATAAAGCCAGTCTCTTATAGAGCCAGAGATTGAGAAGGTAAACTGTATGGTAATGTAGGAGGGTTATTCCCTCTGAGGTATACTTCAGAATTAATGCCAAACTGCTGCTTTGCCTGGACTGGATTTGCCATGTGGTCCAGTGGATGTGTCTCAACTGTTCTTATGATTGTGGATTGATAATCAGCTCATCATAAGTTGTCTACTGCCATCCATGTTTGCTTTGATGTCTGAACTTTATTGCTCTGTGATATTTGATCTCTATTGAATGATGAATTTGTAACCAAGAACCAACCGAGAACTCATTGTATCTTCTTTGTTTGTTTCTCAGGCAGTGGGAGGATCTGCGGGGAGGACGCGTGGTATACACACACCTTTCTTTGCATGCAGTGTGGTAGGTCTGAAGTGTGGTGAGCACCTAAACTAGTTTTTAGATGTACCTCAGTCTGCAGTGTTTGTTACAGTGCTTTGCAGTGATCACGGTGTGCACGTGGTGAGTGAGATTGGGTTTTGCAATAGCATCTCCCCGCGGTGAGTACCCTGTCTGATACCTTTTATATATCTTGTAACCAGTTGGTTCAGTTGCATTTTAGTTTTAAATGTTTGTTAATAGTACAATATTAAATGCTTGGTCTGAACCTGATTATTGTCCTTTTCTTTTATCTCCTTTTAATAATAAATACTGAGTTTTTGACTTGAGTGCACGTCTCCGGCTCTCCTTGTACCTGTAAAATAATTTGTTTGTGGGTTCAGGCAGAGACCCTCACACTGGGGTTGGTCACACACATAAAGAATATGTGCATGTTTTTATTAGTTTAAGTGGTTTAGGTTTAGCTGTGGATTTAGTTAAAGCTCTTGTACAGAGTCTTAAAGATTCCAGATATAAAACCTACTTTGAGGAGCTCTTTCAAACAAGTGGTACAAACTGCTGAATAATGCGAGACTGACCCAGAACCTGCAGCCAAAAGAAGGAAACAAAAGGCTGGATGGACACAGTGTGATGCCTCAAAGTAAGCGGCGCAGAACAGGGACGCTTTGGACGTAAGTGTTTTACTTATCTATATGAAATTGTCACGACCTCATGAGCTCTATAAACAGTTAGAAAACCATAAATTGAGCAAAATTTCTGGATTTTTAATCGGTGAAGTCACTTTTGGTGGCTCTTACTTGTCTTTGGCTTCTATGTGAAGCTGAAGGTTCAACACACGAGCACAAAGAGAAGATCAACATGTTTATCTTTAATAGACGACTGCACATATCCCATCCTCAGTATATGTTCAGTAGCTGAGTGTATGAGTCCTCCAACCCAAAATAGCCTATGAAAGACTAGAGAATCAAGCACTGCACATAGGCGTAGAGTCGTGCAGCAATTTTGATGAATAGGTAAAGGGAAAATGAATCCTATGCAGCACAAACAAGCTCTATAGGAGGCGGACTCAGTGCAGAGCAGCTATGAGTGGCAGCAACAGCATTATTGAAGCTGAGGATAGCAGATGAGGTGTAGGACTGTATTGTCTCGGGGTGAGTGTGACATGTACAGTGCAGTCATGAACAATAGACAAGCATAGCAGCGAGTGGGAGGCAGATCATACAGAATGTACAGGAAATAACAAATCCAGAATAGATGCGATTGTGTTTTCTATCCAGGTCATGATGAATCCGGCTGTCTCATCATGCACGTACATCAAACGGCAGGAAATCAGAGTAAAATAGACCGGATGGATAAAAACTGACAACCAACTCGGCAGCTACATGTCATTTAAGATGACTCGAGCGTCAAGTAATTTCTGCTGCGGCAGCAAGGAGGAGGTGTCTTTATGCAAATTTAATTCTCCTCTTCGGTTTCCCTTTGATTAACTTTTGACCTACAAGAATCGTCAGTTTCTTTACAGATTAAGAACATTAATCAGGGTAGAAAATTAAATCAGGGTCGAACTTCGGAGTGGACGATAAAGTCGCTTGACTTGGTTGTAAAACGAAATTGGGCAACACAAATCATGTTGGCTAATGGCAACATAAATTAGACATCACTATTCATGCTGGTACCACAACATGACCCCTCTCAGTTATGACTGGCTGGTCAGCGAAATTAGAAAAGTAAAGCAGCTGGGGTCGGCTTGAATTCAGTCGGTTACAGTGGATTTCAAGGTTGATAGAAAGTTTAAAAAGACACAAAGAAATCTCAACAAGCCTGTAATAATGACCATGAGGGTGAGACATCACAGGAGAAAGATTGTTTCTTCATTAATTTTCAGCTTAAGTCTCGTTTAACTTCAATGCACTTGGTCCACTGATGGTCAAACGTTGCTTAACCTTCATGGAAGAAGGCCACGTCTTGAGCTTCGAGATGCTCATAAACAGCATGCATGACCTCAACGTCAATCAGAAAACAGTGACCATGCAAGTTGGGCTTTTAGTTTGGTAAACAGATAGAGGTCAGACGGTGCAGGTTGGGTTAGTAAGGTGCATGAAGCAACAGTTTGAAACCACATTTGACTGCTTCTTCCACTTGATCTGTGTTGACAGATGCATTGCCCTGGAGCAGGGGTGTCCAATCCTTCCAGAAGTCTTCATCCATCGCACTCTTTTTCTCTTTTTGTGTCTGTTTATGTCCATAAACCTCTGCTCATTAAAATACACTCTGCTCGAGAGCCACAATCCTGCATGTTTTAGATGTTTCCCTCTTCCAACACACCTGATTTAAATGATCAGCTCATCATCAAGCTCTGCAGAAGCCCAATAACTATCCTGATCATTTGAATCAGGTGTGAGGGAAGAAGGAAACATCTAAAACATGCAGGATTGTGGCCCTCGAGGACCAGGATTGCCCACCCCAGCCCTGGAGCATTGTCCATTTTCTGTTTCCCTCTTAACTACTGATTTTCAAAGAAATGATGACAAACATGAGTTTTTTTGTAGACCGTGATGTAAGGCTTTATAGTGTCGAGTTATACCCCAAAATTTGAGTTACTTGTTTTGTTTCTGGGTGAATCTGAGAACTTTTGTAAGTTCTCTTGTAATATGTAGAATCCAAGAGATTAGAAAAAAAAAAAGGCTACAGCCTCGATTTCGACAGATGTGGTGACATAGATTACTACGGCTCAGGGCTCCTTTTTCCTTTTTAGCTTAATTAACTACGTCCTGGTTCTGTATGTAAATTCGTATATGCAT